TCCACAACCAAGATCCACTAATACCTAATGAATTTATAATGTAAGCAAACGTTTCTGTGCCTGGCCGTAACCTGAACAAGCCGATAAGCACCATCCCGAAACAGAAATTTGTCGCCATGTATCCACAAAAGTAAGCTAACTGAAAGTTCCGTCAGATACGGTGTGCATAGGACATGCGTATTGAATATACATATGCATCAACCAGTCACGTGTTATTTATTCCGCACTATCTGTTTTGACCAAACGTGCCACAGATTGAGCACGAACATAATAGAACCATGCCCCATGAATTTTTACCCCAAGATTCTTCCTGTCCTGGTTTCCCGTTCCCGTAGCCTAAAAAAGATTTGCGCACATGGAGATTACAGACAGAAACATAGACTCGTCGCTTAGATAATGAATCCCCTTACTGGTTCGTGGTCGAATTTCATATTGGTGTTTCTTTTAATTCTTTTGAGTTCACGAAGTTAGGATTACAGTGGTAGAAGTACTGGTCTTCAGGATAAACCAACCAAATTGTCACATTTCAATAAGACATTTAGGTGAGAAATCTCAAGACGTCCAAAGTGCATCCTTCGTGAACCCTTAGATTTTTCCGTAAAAGTTCACTCTCTGCATGTTGGCGCCCTGATAACCAAAACACGCAAAGCTCTTGTGATCCAACTATGAGAGTCACTCGAGCTTCGTTGTGGCTTCATGCTTTGGTGGTTACCTTTCTCGATGGGTGGATGATAATGTCACCAAGGGCTACACTGAGCTTGGGCTAGCATGGCTACGTTGTCGACTGAGAAGTAGAGAATAGTTATTTAACTTAACGCTATCTTTTTCTAACCCACTAGGGTTTGGTATGAACTAGCGGTCCAGTGATGCCACAGTACACACCTCGATGTTACGTAGTCTTGTGCAGTTGCCAATCGGAAGGACTTGAGATATTACGTGAGTTTGTTTGATCAATCCTGCAGTTTTTTGAACAGGAATTTCTTCCGGAAAAAGATCTCTAACAGTCTATATTTTAGGAAACTTTGAATGGAAATATTTTGTTTTTCTTCAGCTACCGATCTTTTTGAAAATGCCGTCAGTTGAAGTAATCATGGGTTAAGATGATCTTGGGCTTCTACACATAGGTGCTCGAATGATTTTTGGAAAAGTATTAAATATCTGGGAAAAACGTTGCCTGCCAGCGAAAACTTCACTGAACAGAAAGTTTGCGATCAAGTTTGGTTAGCGGAAAAATTTCCCCGAAAACTGTCAGATGCCGGGTGAAAAATTTTTTTCCTTTGAAACGTAGCTTTTCTTTGTTTAGCTGCATTTCAACTTCAGCTGTGGTAATTCATGCCAGCCCCTCAGCAATTCGCCGATTGAATAACTAATGCGTTGCGTTTGTGAAAGCTCTTCAAAATTCACTAAAAACTTCCTTAAGGACAATTTGAAAACGAAATTTGCTCGCGGTCCGGAAGGCAGTTGCAAGTCGGCTCATTATATACTACTTACAATAGAGCAGTAGTTAAACGGATGAATTTCATTGACTATCCGCTGTTGAATGAAATTTTGGTGGATCTAGATACGTTTTCAGCGCAATGTAACATTACTAAACTAAGCTTTGAAAAACCAAGCTTCATCGAGGAATGAAGCGATTGATTCTTTGGTTTTACTACCTCAATTAAAGTGCTAAACAATGTCAGTAAGTTGTAAACACACTATCGGAGTTGATAATGTTCTACGATATCCGCCTGTTCGTAGTTTCTATGACAATGACACGTCGCCGAATTTATGTACCACTTCCCGATTTCGGCTAAAAGTCGCGCCACCATTTGCTTCCTAGGAGATAATGGTAGGAAACGGTGAGTCGTTTGGACCCTTCATTTCTGAGAGGTCGTGTTTCACATGCGCATATAACAGCTGAACAAACTGATGCATTGTAAACGCGACTCTTCAATGATACTCTGACATCATGCAGAGGTGAAGGAGGTTCTTGAAGGTTCTACTAATTTTGGTGACTTTGACAGTTTGATCTGCAGATATCCGACCCCTGAGGTACGTGTAGTGGTCCTCCACTGCTTCACAGACAGAGCGTGAGCTCAGGTCTAGACCAGCCTGCTCAAACATTTTACCTCTTGTTGGCAGTAACGGTTCATGAAATTTTAGGGGTCGGATATGAACTACTAAACAAGTATCATCAGCAAATTTTTATTCCTGGGTCCCAATACTCCTCTACTGCCCATGCTCCCAGTGAAGTTCGGCAAAAACAGGTAGGCTTAGCGTCTTCAAGGAACCTAGTTTGAAATGAAGAAGAGTAAGATAGTTGGTTTTAAATGCAAACTTGACCTGTCGTTTCGGTGCATGATGCACTGAGGATGTCAATGAATTCTACGGGCACTCCGAACAAGGTAACCTCACAGAACCGTCGATTCTGTGGCTTTGAATGCAACACGATAACGTTCCAGAAGTCCTCCCTGTGTGAGTAGTTTATAAATGCAGACACTCCCACTACGAAATCTGGGTTATTGTTCCTGGCTCAGGAGCTGACGTGTTGTTGACAGTCTGCGGAGAGTGACATTCACCAAAATCCTGGACGTAACTGAACTAGGACTGATTCCCAATAGTTTGAACAGTGTGTTTTCAGCTTCCGTTTGAAGACCGGATCAGTGACTGGAAGGACTTTGATGTTCATGTTTGGGCGAAGAGGTCGCTGAGTTGTTAAACTAGCAATGTGCCTCCAGCCGGGAAAGGCGATATCGGGAGTTCGTCAACACCTATTTGTTTATTGTTTATCAAGCTGAGTGTCTTCTGGACTAGGTGGATAAGCAGAGGCAGGTGACTCATCAGAGATCTAGCGATTGAACCTAACTTATGTTACCGACCTGACATTCACCAGAACACTAGGGGCAACGCAGTGCAATGATTGTTTGTTGCCGGACCCTTGGTCCTCTGGGAGGAAAGGTGTTCGTGCTCGAAGGCTTTCAGAGTAAATGGATTCAGAAGACATGTAACGTTGAGCCGCTTGAAGCGGCTTTGTGAATAATCAAAGAAGTGCATGAACGTTTTCGTGCATACGATGGTGTGGTCGGAATGACTGCAAGAACTCAATATGATCGACGGTTGCCATGGCAACTGTCCATCACGAACTGACAGCAGTGTATGTCGAAAGACAGCTTAGGAGCAAACCACCAATCAGCGCACCGATTTAAAAGCCTTTCAGCTTACATGTGGGCTTGCGCGGAAATGCAAAACGTGTGTAGGCCCGAAGCGTTAGACGAGGGCTTTAGTCGCACCATGGTCTTGGTTGCAAAACCCTTATGTGTAGAGTAAAACGTTTTGCGTCAAAATGTTGCATTTTGTTGCGTATGAGCTCAGACCGGAAACCATCTTATTCTACGTTTGCATTTTTGCAGCTCACCAAATCTCATTGTCTACTGAAGTAATCATCCCTATGGCGGAAAAGTCTGATGGACTGATTTCCTGGCATTGCTGAGACCCCGGGGTGCCTAAATGGGGCTCAAAGTTTTGGACTGGTACTCTGAGCTCAGTTGCCCGATTGCTTTAGTCCACCACGTCATAGTTTTCGAAAATTCAATTACATTGTGTGAATATTGGGCGCCGTGTTAGATTGATCGCTCATTTCCGTTCGTACCGTGCGTACCGCCCTACGTGACCACCGGAATTCATGAGGTTGGTGAACCAATTTGGTCTATTTTCTCATTCATAACTAGTAGCTCGTTGTGTTGAACGAGGCCACTACAAGATGTTCGCCTCAGCCACAGGACATTTACTCACATAGTTCACATGACTCCTATTTTTACAAACGTGACGTTTCCTTATCCCAACCCCGGTTTCACACACTAAGATTCAAATGTAACACAGTACTCATAGGATTCCTGGATGCCCTTCCATAGCCCATGTCCAGTTTTGCCCCTCATGGGGCTCATCCGGTGGGCGCAGCCCCCGAGCTTCCCTTAGCGGGAGACCCACCGTAATCACAGCTGAGCCTCTCGCTTATGCTATTCTCCATCAACTGAATGTGCTGCATCAGATCATCTCTGTTGGTACGATACACCAGAGTAGCAATATGTTGTATAGAAGTGGCACACTACTTACAAGGTTGCTGAAAACCTTTCTAAGAACATTACAAACAGGAGATTCACGTGAGATTCAGTTTAGTATCTCGTGGAAACCATGTTGGTATGCAAATGAGTGTATTTTGTAAATTCAGTGGCCCAGTTTGACATCTGAATCTTGACAAGCTAGCTGACGGCCAATCACTTGGTATCTTCCCGAGGCGTACTGATGATTGCCCCAAACGCTAGATGGTGCTGAAAAGAGTTACAGATTTTCGCAGGCTCTTCGATCCGTTATGGCGCTTTGTTACAACTTGCCTCAGTGAAGTTAGGATATGTTCACATACTACTGAAATATTTTATGTGCATCATCGTAGACGTGATTCAGCGTCGGAGGATGATTCAACAGGGAAAACCATTCCTGATATTGCTTTGGTAGCTCGGACCACTAACCGACCTTGTAGCTAATTTTTATACGGGTATTCAAGTTTAGCAATCTACATCTGAATACAGTGAAAAGCCTTTTCCACATCAGAACATCAGAAGAGTGCATCACCTTGATTTCGAGTTCTTGCACACTCATGCATAATGTAAATAATATGGGTAAACGAAATTTCGATTTGAGGTATCTGGTGACCTTGAAAATTTGCCCAGTTCAGTAAACCGCTGTCAGCTAAAATATGCAACCAGATTGAGCGTAACACGTATGGGGGCCTCGACGCAGAGAATGCTTTGGAGTATGTTTTCCCTTCGGTTCATCCGCAGTGATCAGCGTTTTTAAGATACAAATGGTCATCGTGGCGAACATGTCGGCAAACAAAGCAGCTGCGTCCAAACCAGTATGGTCGGAAATGTGTTGAAATACCGGTAGCTCGGATGAGTTTGTTGGTTGTTGATCAGGTGGCTTCTGATCTGTTCACCGAGCTTGGCAATTGATTCGCAAACATGTCACTGTACGAGGAGACATTATCGGTGCGCAGTGAATCTATTGGTCCGTTAGCGATCTTTGTTACGCTGTGATCCGCGTTCCTTTGTATTGATTGGTTATTCCAACATTGGGGTAACGGTTGCAAGCCAGTTGCCAAACTCGGTGAACAGATCAACATCCACGTGATCAACAACCAAAAAGCCAGTATGGTCACATTGTTTTGGGGCTAGAGGCACCATCAGACGGGCAAACGGCTGCCGTTGGCTGCAGGTAAATCGGTTTATAAGATGAACGAAGGTATATACTGAGAAGCGCCGTAGTCAACCAAAAACTGGCCAGAAATTCTACCAAAAAGCCAGTATGGTCACATTGTTTTGGGGCTAGAGGCACCATCAGACGGGCAAACGGCTGCCGTTGGCTGCAGGTAAATCGGTTTATAAGATGAACTGAGAAGCGCCGTAGTCAACCAAAAACTGGCTCAGAAATTCTGCGTCACGCATCGTAATGACATTGTTCCGTACTGGGAGTTTGTGAAGAACATCGGGAGAAATTGAAAGAATACGAAATCCAATGCTTCACTGAGCAGCAGGGTTTGGAGACAAAAACGATGCATATTCGGAATAGGAGGCCCAATGAGCGCAGCTGGTATCCGAAGCTACGTACCCGTATTCAAACGGCCTTGTCATTTGCCTTTCTGACTGGTAAGAATGAGCCGCCGATCCGGCAACTAGTCTTCTCGTTACAACAGCGTCCCACTGAGACGACAACAAACGGACTAGTCTAATTTCAGTCGTTTTCTATGCTGGGCAAACGCTGGTCTCCAGAAGAACAACTGGCCAGAGGAGTAGCGTGTGGTGGATTTCCTATGAAAGTTGCACCTCCTGAATAACCGATCCCCTGTAATTACCGAGTATGGTTGACTCATCCAATGGTTCATTATGGATATCGTGAAGTGACCAGATTTCTCTACACAGAAGCAATCCCCCAATTCTAGCATGTTTTATAAAAGCACTCGAATTGGAGTAACAGCTACTGTACTATGATACTAGATTCTAAGAACCATGACAAAACGGCGCAAATAAATGACCGAGGATTCAGTTACCTCAAAGACCTTCTCTTTCACGCTCTTTCAGAGATTCGCAAAAGTATGCCCTACCCTAACAAGACCAAGTCAAGGTGAGTTCCCCCTTCGAAGTGGTCGTTTCGGATTACATATTCACACACAGAGAGAGTGATCAATTCACACGCTCCCCCGTTTAAGTGGCGCACGCATCAGGTAACGGGGGTTTAAATCCATGAAAAGTGGAGGGCACTTAGTATAGAGCTATATACAAATGTGTGACATTTCTCTCAAAATTTATTTCAGACCAAAGGCTCAGCAATGTCACCTGACTTAGCTTCGTTACCAGCGTAGATCAAGTGGGTTTTTATAGTAACCCAGTGCGCATATCAGTTGATATGTGTTCATCGCGAGAGAGCATGTGTTCACACATGTTCTGGCAGTCAAGACTGAAACTCGATTATGACTGGTTGTTGATGCGGTGAATTACGCTGGTTGGTCCGTTGGCTCTGAACCAGAAGCAACCAATAAGATCGCAAAAATATGTAGCCAATAGTAACCGAGGGTCGGTCTCAGTTTTAAAACACATGAACGCACACTTATCAGGGCTTGAAGTCCACCAAGTGGTATATTGCATCTATCCACCAAACCACTAGCTGACTACGTGGTGATGCATTTATAAAATTAATACGAGATTTAGTTGGCGGATGGTGTTCAACAGGGTAAATGCTAGACATTCAAGGATGTTCTCCAGCTGCGTGGGAAAGGTAGTGTGCAAATGAAGTGTGATACGACATAGAACTGTGTCACCACAATTCACAACGATATATGCCTTCTTACCCCGATCCGACGACGTTCACGTTCAACTTCAGCGCTCAAACTCGTTTGGGATCCCATACGATAGGGTGTTTGCAGTTTTCCGGTTATCACTGACGGATAGTAATACGTGTACCTCTGAGTGATTGGTGCCGGCGAAGAAGCATAGTGCGTTGTCAAAATCGGGCGACTTGGTTCCGCCGTTCGCGTGGTCTGAGAAGGGGAATGACGTTAAAACTAGTTGAAAACCACATTAATAGGGCAAACGGGTTAAAAACCAATTGCTTGAACACACCATGCGCTCTCTCCCGGTCTAAGCATTGAGTATGTATCCCAAGTTCGAACAAACTCAACTGCAGAACAGGCTTTGCCGAGTAGGAATTGGTCAGCTTTTGACCACCAGCGTACTATTCGGCTCGCGGCTATTCTCCAATCAAATCAAAGTGGCAATCAGCCAATCGGAATGGGCTCGTCAACGCCTGCTACTATTGGCTTCTAAGAAGTCAGTCAACTTGTTTCATCAAGGTCGTATAAAATTCTGTCAGTTTATTAGACTGCTGTTTGCTATCATCCATGGTTGTTTGCATATCGCCTCCTTTTCCACGCCTCGACACCGACGAACCGAATACTTGCACGGTAGGTTCACTAACAGCGCTGAAACCACATAATCAGGCTTAAAGCCAGATGAAGCTAGGAAGTTAATAAGCTTTGAAAAGTTTCCACAGAAACCAAAAACTCACATAAGACGTCAAATAGTAAGGCGTTTCCGTTATATAACGATTTGTGCGGTAATAAGTCCGTCCTGGTACCACCGGTGGCAAACCGACCTCAGATGCGTAGTAAACCGGGCGATAGGTGTGACTGACCGGTACCGGTGGGACCGACCCAAGTCGCGCCGACCGTAGTGGCGTGCGTCGATTGATTGTGGTATGAATCACACGTGGGACGGTTTCTTCCTGAAAATGTCAATGATTGGTTAGAAGAATTGTGAACTGACATGAAATTCAAACGAGCATTCATCACTGGAGCATGCACAAACCAATCTAACGGGCTGAAGCGCAAGCAAACTATAGATGCAACGGCAACAGTGTTCCGAAACCGGCAAAAAGATACTGGATACTAGCCGTTTCTCGTCTTGGATGGACAGCCTCACGCCTAGGTTGTTGGTCGTAGGTTCACTAACAGCGCTGAAACCACATAATCAAGCTTAAAGCCAGATGAAGCTAGGAAGTTAATGAGCCCTGAAAAGTTTCCACAGAAACCAAAAACTCACATAAGACGTCAAATAGTAAGGCGTTTCCGTTATATAACGATTTGTGCGGTAATAAGTCCGTCCTGGTACCACCGGTGGCAAACCGACCTCAGATGCGTAGTAAACCGGGCGATAGGTGTGACTGACCGGTACCGGTGGGACCGACCCAAGTCGCGCCGACCGTAGTGGCGTGCGTCGATTGATTGTGGTATGAATCACACGTGGGACGGTTTCTTCCTGAAAATGTCAATGATTGGTTAGAAGAATTGTGAACTGACATGAAATTCAAACGAGCATTCATCACTGGAGCATGCACAAACCAATCTAACGGGCTGAAGCGCAAGCAAACTATAGATGCAACGGCAACAGTGTTCCGAAACCGGCAAAAAGATACTGGATACTAGCCGTTTCTCGTCTTGGATGGACATCCTCACGCCTAGGTTGTTGGTCTGTTCACCGAGCTTCGTAGGTGGATTGCAAACGTTTCGTCACTAATCGAGGTAACACCGTCAGTGCAGGGTTGAGTGGGTGAATTCTTGTGTCCTTCACAAGTTCAATTGGGACAGTGTTCAAATACGGGCTCGAGTAGGAATATAACGGGAGCGAGAATTTGCCGAGGCGTGGTACTGTACACAAAAAATCGACCAATAAACACATCGACATTGACCCTGCCTATCAGCTGTTACGAGCAAAGCAACCACACAGTCACGGGACTCTGAGCCAAGAAACCTAACGACAACCAACCGGCTAACTGGATCAAAGGAAGACAATCACTAAAAACTGAAGGCCGCTGAACCAATTAACCAAGGGAACAAACTCACACAACAAAGCACGAAGAAAAACGGCCGAATCACAAGAGAACAACCACACACAGAACTGCCGAATGGAATGTGCCCAACGAACCAATCAGACACAGGAGATTGAGATCACGTCAGATTCACAGAAGGCCAATCAAACTACGCGAAGACAGTTTCCAGAACTACCAGATACTGTTTGGATGCTATATAATCACAGCCAGAAGCGGAGGAATTCACCCACCCAACCCTACACTGACGATGTCACCTCGATTGGTGATGAAACGTTTGCAATCCAACTGCCAAGCTCGGCGAACAGACCAAAAACCAAGCAGTGCATCCAAGTTACCTATATCCCACAACATTTCCAGCCTTACGCCTCTTCTGACTCCTCAGTTTTCGGGACATTTTCGTGAATCAATGAAGCTTGATGTATTCGGTGTAACCCATATTGGTAAGTAGAGCGATTCCTCCGAAAAAACAACCATCGATGACATTGAGAGATTAATCCTTGCAGCTCAGAGAATGAACCTAATCGGTCTTATTAAGTTTAACAGCTAGAACATTTGATTATGAAGTAATTCACTCATTCAGCTTTGTGTTTACGTTCACTATCGATGACATTGAGAGATTAATCCTTGCAGCCCAGAAAATGAACCTAATCAGTCTTATTAATTTTAACAGCTAGGACATTTGATTATGAAGCAATTCATTCATTCAACTTTGTTTTTACGTTAACTACATCAGAAAGCGTAGTTCAGTTCTACTGACGCTGTGGAATTCAACACTGTCTCGTCTGTTTGCTGCCCGTGCAGTGTGGCGACGGTAATCCCAACTGCCCTATTCACATCGTATCTTGATCCAGCCAAACGACATGGTTCAAGCACACTTGTGAACTTCACCTACACGGAGAATGGGCGAAAGTCACACTTAGGGATGGAAGTAAATCACTGATCAGAGGTGAATGATCGGGCTTTAGCCCTTCACTAATCACTGAAAAGTTCTTTCACTCTATCTCAATCTGAAACACGTCTGACCCTTGGATGACTGGGCGACCTCTTCAATCTGTCTTGCAACCAACAATGTTCAGTAAGCCCTTCTTCAAGACAAAACTGGTTGCACCTATGATGGAAGCAATACTATGAAGTGACATCATAGTCAGCTGTTTATTTTAGCATACAAAAACGTGCTGTCATTTAGTTTGGTCCACTTGAAAAGATTAATATACGCGGCAGAATCAATGAGTTGTTTCTCATTTGACCAATCGTACGTATCGACCTTGGTCAGAATATCAACATGAATTTAATCTTTTTTGCACGAATTTTGGCTCACAAAAGAACTACCGCTGAAAATATGTGACACCCAGTTTTGTTCAGCGCCGCAAAAGATTGCGGTCTAAATTCGGATCAGGGCGTGAAAACACGCCTCGAGGCATCTATGAGATCGATCGAGATAGCCTGATGTATTTTCAAATGACTGGAAGGAACCTTCCTGAAAAAAAACAAGCTGCTGTGGTTGATTTTGCCAAAATTTCGCTTTCTTCGATGGAATGTTCCACCGAAACTCCGAGAGAGAGTACGTACTACTGACCCACTGTAAGTAGAATAGCGATGGTGGCGAAAGACTATCCAGTATGATGTTTCACCAAAGATTGCGAGTGACTGATAAAACAGTGGACTTACTGGAAATACAACTGACCTCAGCTATGAGTTTGACCTGGAAATCAACTTAATTTTATTTCTAACGCAACAACAGCTGTGAGAAAAGTTGTTTACAAACATTAGTCGACTTCATTTACTAAGTTTAAGTGAGCTGAAAAAAGATTAGGTACTTATTGGTAGTTATAAGCTTTTGTGTACAGTGAGTGTCACAAAGATCGGAGGCTGGCAAACATGAAGCGCGCAAAAGTCCACATCCGCCCCCCAGTCGGCGCCACAGGAGCTAAACTGTTTGGGCATTCACAGTTGAAAGAACCAGGCAGTGCAATCGAACTTCAATAACATCAAGTTAAATAATGGACAACGTGCTACCGCAATGGTTGTTCCATAGCTGAATTAAGTCAATTTGGTGTGATGTGGACTACAGGTCTTTTGAAAGCTCGACCGAACAAAACAGTTCCAGTGGTTCTGGTCAACCCGGTCTGGTAGACCAACTATGGGCGGGAGATCGTACCATTTTCAACACCTATACAACGGGCCACACATTCCCTCAAGTTCGTTCGGGTTCTCATCGGTCGCAACACAGTCGCCACAAAAAAGTGTGGACAAATGCGGCTAAGCAGACCGCTTATAAGTCTGGCGTACAAAAAAGGGGAAGGCATGACATGGCTACCACGCACCTCTGGGAACAAAAGGATGGTTCATAGCGAGCAGTCAATAGAGCCTGAACGAAACTCAGTATTGACAATTTGATCCAATCCGTTAGAAGCGCGGGATGTTGAGTTAATATAGACGATGTGTTCAAGTTTGAGGACATATATGGGAGTTGATGGTGGCGGAAATTGAACGTTTCTCAGTCCAGCGGTCTTATTAGGCAACCCAGTTCTGTATTTATAGGTGAATGGATAGATACAGTGTAAAGATGAGATATTACACAGAACTGTTTTTTGTGTTCCAGGGGTTGTACTCTTTGCACACGCAGACGCATTACGATTCGGGCTGCATGATAACTCCACTTTTGGGTGATTTGAAGCCTAAATTACCAATTTTAAAGAAAAAAGTCGCCCTTGAGTGGCAGCTCTTCAGTTCCGTTTGAGATTATTGATCAATAAAATGAGGACTGGTAATCTATCAAACCAACATCGATCAACACATCATTAAACGCGATTTAAAGCGTTCATATGGGATAGTTATTTTACAACCTCGCGATTTGGAAACAAAATTAGTTATGAATTTGTGTGAAGCCGCATCCAAAGACATCAAACTGTAGGACCCGTTTTTTTTTACAAATGAATGGTTTGCTAACAAAATGGACTCATTTTTCATGAATTTACTCCTTGTCTACTACCATCGATTTTTGAATTAAAACCACAAGTTTTCGGAAAATAGGGGATGTCCGTCAATGGGTAAGACTGACGTTGGTTTTTTGGATACCATCAGGTTTAGACAACAGCAGCCGGGCTGACCACGAGGCGGTTAGATCGCCCATGCTTATGCCAAATGTGTTTCGGTCTGCCACCTCACTAAATTCAGGTCAACCACAGAACCGGGTGTTTCTTTTGTTAACTGAAACGAAAATGGCTGCCAGAATAACTTCATTCGTCCAAAGGATGCCCTATATTAGAGACTCTGGTGGACTAACTGCAGATGGTGCACGGGTTTCTCGAATACCGGAGGGAGAGTGATATACTTAACTTGATGCGTTCAGTTAACGATGGCTATCATTTCTAATAGGCGTGTCCCATCCAGGGAGGGAAGCCAGACAGGGATATAAAAAGTCCCATCAGCTTTATTCACACGAACTAAGTAGCAACGAAAAGTTCTTCGTTAAAAAAATAACATGGTTTTGGTAAGAATTCTACGGATGACAATTTAGCCAGCCAGTCATGAGCCTACATTAAGTGGGCCGAGATGGCTCTTGATCTGTATGCTATCATAGACAGTTTTGCTGGCTAGTGGTGGTCAGTTTTCATATATTTGGACCAAATATCGATTAGAAGTCTAATTCGCAAGCGATTGGCCAGATCGCGTTGCTTGCCAATCCAGCAAAAAGACGAGCCCTGATTGGTCCGAAGAATGAACCCAACCGATGAACATAATTCAGTGTCCACCGAATGCCAGTTGCCAGTGCAGCGTCCAGATAGTGTCGGAATTTCCAGAATGTTTTCGCCCCACAGGATTTATATACGACGCATTGCACATGTGTTTTTGACCTGGTTTCAGGCATTTATTACACGTTGTGCACTTTGGGTGGTTCTTTTTATAGAAAACGCTAGTTTGAGAGTTCAGAAAGAGCACTAAGCCGAGACATTACCGTTATTACAACCAGAGAGTTTGAGGCATGTTGTAAAATACCTTCACAAACCTAGAAAAATGAAATTCCGGGGATAATATGTGTATGTAATATGTGGAATATATATATATATATATACCATATATGTGCGTCTTTCGAGTCTTAATGAGACTTACTCACGGCTGTTTATGGCCTAAACGTTGTAGAATGTCTCATACGCGTAGTGAAACCCTCAATGGACATAATCAGAGAGTTCTGGAAACTAAATTCGTTTTCTGCATCTCTCGGTGTACACTGGTATCCTGAACGAAGCATGTACATCAAGGATAACTTTGTTTCGAACAAACACACCATTGAGAGTGTTTTTCATGGTGACTGTGTAAACAACCTTCGGCACTAAGAAAATCAATATCCAGCGGTATTGTTTCTCATAATGCAATGAAAACAGCGAATGTAACCAATTAGACATTAGTGCATCGGTTAGTTTGGGTGACCAAATCAGAAAACATCAAATTTCTCTTGCTATGTCGTCTATTGGAACCATTTGTTTGAGTGCGGTACCATTATTGATGAAAACTCCATGGTTTAGTCTCACGTAAAGTCGCATCAATAATTTACGGTGACAAGTTACTAGGGATCTCTGCACCTCTCCTTGGTAGACCGAAACTCATTGACAGATCAATCACAGCCAACTCGTTACTATTTTGCTGATATTCGACTTTATGGTAAAACGTCCTTGGCAGAAGAACCTGGCCTCCCTCAACTATTCGCTGCTGTATATGGCCACATGAATTGCAAAGTGCACAAATTATTGATCCAAACCTGTCAGCTGCAACATAAGGCAACTTGGTGCAACACATCCAGTTGAGATAGAACATCATGAACGAGAGATCCAGTTGGGTCTCCCGTAGAAACCAAATCAGTATGGAAATTAGTGTAGTTGGTTAATTTGTTCAATTTTCGTTCAAGTAGAATATAGGGTTGGGGGAATCTCGATGACCGCTCCTACCTGAATAGCCTCAAGGAGGGCACAACCGATCGTGGGCTGTCAAGGAGTTTTCAGGAGCCTTATGAGTAGTGTGTTGCACAAACTGTCAAGTCATGGATCGTATTCATTGACCAATGGTCACTGTTCTTTGTAGACGAAAACATGTAACCTAGTTTTCTAGGCTTTGTCGTTCAAAGTGTCTCAACGCTTCCAGTACTATACCCACCGGCTGATTGTGCTTTAGGAGGCCAATGGGTGGAGAGTTAACATACGACCGAATGTCAGTGGTAGAGTCCGGACATTTACAACATTTACAACGTGAAGTTCTCATGGACCGATTAACTTTACTTTTGATGAGAACATAAACGGTCGCATGAACTTTGTCATCTAGTTGGTTCTAAGCTTTTGCTCAAACGATGAAAACTGTAGAAAAGTTGCAAGATATGTGGAAAGTAATTCGTTACTTTTGGTCATATTCACACCAATCTCGTTTGAACGGTCGTTCTGAAGTAATTATTCTGGTGAGTCCACACCAAAGGGAAACACTGGACTCGAGTTTTGCTGTTATTAGAGCTCAGCAGCAGTGACAGGATTCGAACCCTGGACATGTGTCGTGCGAGGCGAACGTGTTAGCACTACTCCACCAACGTCCGACAGGCGTATCAATCACATCGATCAAACGTGAGAATGTTCACCCATTCAGACGTGAAAATTAAGACGGTTCTAACGTGTATTGGTGGAGTAATAGTAACACGCTCGCCTCGCATGTCAGATGTCCGGGGTTCAAATCCCGGCACGGCCACTGGATATGTGCTGCTGATAAGCTCTAATAAGAGCAAAACTCCAGTCCACTGCTTCCCTCTTTGGTGTGGACTCGCCAGAATAATTACGCCAGAACGGGAGGACGGCTGTTCAAACAAGGGTGGTTTGAATATGTCCCGCAAAATCCCACAGCTAATTCCCTAATTATAAAGCAAATGAGTGCAAAATTGGGGGTAAATTCTGAAGACGGTCTGAAAATTGCCTGGAGAAATGGAGAGGAGGGTAACACGGAAGAGGGTGAGGTTTACATTGCCCAGGGTGATGATGATGGTGTCAGTGATGAGGATGATGCTGGCCTCCACGAAAGCGAGGAAGGTGCTGCTGTTCTGTTCAAGTGGAGTTTATTATTATTATTATTTTATTCTATTCTTATTATTTATTCCCCCACAACATCATGAGGCCACTCAAAAGTCTACCCAGTCCACTGTGAAACTAACCAATCATACAATAAGAAGAAAAGCAGTTAGCGACCCCCCGCTCTGTGGCTTCATTGTCTTCGTACTCGAACAAGCAAAAACTGCATCTGTATAAAAGCATACACAGTTCTGGAATGTGACCAGATATACTTTGTAAATATCTCGTATTGTACTGACTCAAACTAAAAGAACACAAGATAAAACGTAAGAACGTGCACTGAGTGAAAAGTCACCCGAAGCAGCGGCCAGCATGACACTTAATTTGTGATTGTCTTTCAGTAGTGACACAACTAAGACATCAACACGGCGAGTGTGAGTGTCCATTGAAAGTGAGTGAGTGGCAGCAAGCATGAAGCATCGACTACTATCATTCGTAAATCAAGGTGCGTCACTACGGGTAACAGCACTGAGAAAGTACCAGAACATTCGTGATGATAACCGACTAGTTGCGTTTCGGTGTAGGTTATGATTGACGAAGCGGCGTGTGGATTTGAAAAGCAAATATGACATGCTTATCGTCATGACAGCAGGCTTAATCTGGATAACCAATGAGGAGGGCGCAGAATAACGGCCGTTCGCGTGCAGTAAACACCTCAGTGGTGCCACTAATTGGTAACTCACAAGTGCGTCACCATAAAGGTCGCTCAGAGAATACGCACGGCGCCATGGGTAGTAAGCATGGCGCACATAGTCTGCGGCACGCTGAACCAACAAGCATGGGAGAAGTGATAAATACAAGGTTTATCAAACTGTTGAAAAATTTTCCATTTATAACAGCCATCTCAGAGACCATCCTGCTGGGTAACAGACTAGGTCACAGCTAGCTTTATAAACATCGTACAAAGTAAGCAATCGTTTAAGATGACTCGTTTAGTACTGCGTTTACCCCAAATCAGCATTAATCACTTGTTTATATTCTGTTGTTCGAACGGTGTCCACAGGGCATAAACACCACCTACGAATGAACAGCATTCTTTCCACTGCACTTTATTTCGAAGAAAGAGACCATAACTCTCCAAACGCATTCATCATGATGTCAAGTTTGGCATTCGCAATTCCTGAATGGGATCAGTGCGGTGTCACGTGGGTTCAGCCCCGTTCGATACGTTGATGGGTTTTCCACAGGTTGATGAAGGCGAATGTTCTAGGTTTGTTGATTTCCTGAAGATGCTTCGGAAGTTATGGTAGCTTCCTTTAAAGGTGCGCACTACCAATAAATGCCTCATTTTTGTCAAAGGACAACTGATTTTCAGATCGCAAAGTTGTCCTAGGCTCAAGGTTTTCCTATGTTTTGTAGCGGTTGATAATGGCAACTAATGCCTACCAGAGAGTCGCATTGCTTATGGGAATTACCATACAATGGATACACTCATTATTGAATAATTTCTCTGAATGTTTTCAGCAAAACTGCTGCTAAATTCGGTTGACGTTTCCTACTCTGAAGAGGCAGAATGGAGAAGCAAAAAGTGAGTGTGAAGTGAAACAGCTAGATAAGTCTTGTGTTCCCAGAGTTTATGCTTTTCCGTAAATCAGTGTGTCAGTATTGTGAATACTCTTCGAAATCTTGATTAAAATATTAACGCCAACGTTCGTTTTAGCTGTGATGCACTCAACGCAGTGCCAAATATTTCTCTCACTGTGCAGTGAATTTTGTTCGTTCTTCTCTTCTTGATATTCGACGAAGCTGGAGCCAGGAAGCATTGTATGCCAGTAGCTGACTTGTAACTACTCCTAGACATGTCTCCATCAGTTGTAACCTATTGAGTTGGCAGTGGTAGTCATCTTTCAGGTTCAAATAGACGTCCAAATTACTTGAGCCCCAAGCTATCTAGCGCATTTCAAGCCACCATAATCTTGTAGCTGTAACATCCTTTAGGCCTGTAGCTGTCATGCCACCCGAAGTAAGAATGAGGTCCAGACTGGCCAATCCCAGACGGGACCTGTCGGACTACTGAGGTTGGGTTCGAGCCACGGAACTTACGGGACGGGACCTGTCGGACTACTGAGGTTGGGTTCGAGCCACGGAACTTACGGTGATTAAGTTCGCGCTTTGTCCACTGGGCTATCTCGATTTGTCATAAATATGCTACCATAAACAGTGGGGTATATTATGAAATGTACGCGGACCTCAATAGAAGAAATATCTATGACCTCACGCGGCCACATAACGTGATGCACCGGATGTCCACGGTGAAAATTAGTCTCTGATTCCGTTAATGGAATACGGCGTCAGTATATGATTCCTATAAAGTAATGTAGGATGCGTCTCAATTAAAATCACTTAGCCTTATCTGTTTTTTGTCCGTTTATTTGCTTTCTCACCTTTGTGATAGGTCTTTTAAGTAGCACTCAATTCCTTCTCTAAGGCTAATTTGTGAAGACGTACATCGTATCTATTTCTGTCCGGTTGCTGAAAGGTTTTTGTGATTACTTGATTACCTGTTCCCTGAGACCATCATCCATATTGCAAGGATTTCCTCAATAGTCGGAGAGATATAACCAATCAGTTGCTATACTCCCGCCTGATATTATTCATTTTGTCCAAATAAGTACAGCACATTCATCCTGGTTGGAAAGCCATTATTTCAGTGCTATATCAAGTCTACTTGCTTGCATTTGATTGGCCACTGGTTACCTCCCTTTGATTGGTTAATTCAGCGCTTGGTGATCATCTAGAAGACTAATGAACAAGTCACTGGTATTCCGCGAGGACATTCTAGGAGCGTCTTCGTAAACTGCCTATGGCCATGTTCTCCTCGGTTCATTAGTAAGAAAATCTCACTCATTGGTTGAGTCAAAACCAATAAACTAAACCACGATAGGCTGACAAAGACTCAGAAAGCAGTACCGGTGTCATGATATGTCTTCGTGGTGGCGAATGTGCTCGCAGTCCCGAAGTTGGTAAGACTCCAGTCGGATTGTTGTTTTGCCAGGAATTTGTGTATGGCGGGTAGAAGTTTGTAGGTGGCGCGTAAACGTTGTTCGATATGGTTCGCGGAAATTCGTAACGTACTGGCTCATAAACTGACGGGTAAACTGATTTTCCGACCATCATCACCGGCGGTGTGTAGTGGGTGACATGGTGTGTAGGTGGATAGTATACACGAGATACGTAGCGTCGCCGGGGGTAATAGTAATGAACTGATGAGCTGACCGGAGGGGAGGAGACGTAAGACCTAGTAGAAGTGTAGCTCAAACTGCGTCGTCGTTCCAAAGCATCGGTCCCAGGTGAACCGATCATAGTACTGTTCCGCTGAAAAATCAATACCATGATCAACTGAATGTTTCTCACATAAAAACGTATAAATTTAACTGGTTGTCAAAATGTATTAAATGTGATGACGCTTTGACCTTTCGTAAAAGTTGTGTACGAGTGTAAGGAGCGCGCATGCGGTCCTGTGAACGGAATTTAAAGGTGGCATCTTCCGATTTGCTAGGAGTTTTTGTGAAAAATAACTTTTTTAAAATGATAAATCAAGTAAGAATGTGAGAGGTGCTGGCCTATCACGGAATCCAGATCACACCTGAGTTCGCTGGGAGTTCAACAGAGTTGAAAATGATCAGGTACAATATGCGTGTATATTTGACATAATACCAGCCTTATTAATACGAACCAGGTCACTGAGTTTGATTTAATTTGCCCTGTGGTTTGAAACCCTCACGGCACAAACGGCTGGAAAGTAGTGTTAATGGTCTAGCGTACTTGGGCTAGGTCGTTAAGTAAAGCATGGTAACTGTACCAGGCATCTATCAGTGTCTTAGCGGTAAGCAGTGCTTTCTTTGAAGTGGTTCTCAGGCACTCTTGGACACGTGACCAAAAACCACTCCCTCTTGATCATCTAATTGACAGGAGAGGCAAATAGTCATCGAACTTCGCCAAGTTGAAGTACTGTGTCTACTCACAGAAGCNTGTTCAGCGTATTCAGTTGTGATAAAATTGAAGAATTTATAAAACTGTTTGGACTATCCGTATGAAGCTGAACTTTGAGTACTCTGGTATGAAAAAATGACATAATTATGGGTCGACCCGCGGTAAATTGCCTCAGGAAAAGACAAATTTCGGTATCTCTCAACGTCTGAGTCACCTCAGTCAAAGAATCACACAGGAGTTACAGTGTTTGGCATTCACCTTATACAACCAAAACGAGGTGCAACTCTTGTCATACTGCTTCAAGGCACATATAGTAGGTTTTTCAAAAGCGGCGCCTTGGTTTTCGAGCGGTAGACCTAGGACATTTCAACAGTTTGCTTTCCAAAATAATCGGGTAATTTCCATCAATTGCTTTACAAGACAGAATCGGTGTGTACACTTTGGTAATGCCACCAAGTTTACGGTTGTAACAGGCCTCTTCTTGGTCGTCTGCAACCCTATTTACACCGGCCTACATCGGTTCCAAGGGCTGTCGACTCAGTTGTGCGCCTAGTTTGGGTTTTAAATGATTTGAAAAAATGGTGGTAACACAGGGACTAAATCTGATGAGCATTCATTCAGTGCCAGAGGGAACAATGGACCCTAAACAGTCTGATTCACGTCTGGAAAATGCAAAAATTACGACTTGGCCGTGGTTTGTGTCAGGCTATCTCTGCCGTATTTACTCTGTTGCAGCAGTGTCTCCGAAATACATCCCCTTTCATTGAGAACCTACTTTCAAGATCCAAGTAGCCCCATTTTCAAGTTTCACAGTCTTCCACACAGTCTGGGGAAAGAGGCAGAGCTAGGATACTTTTTACTGGGTTTTCTACTGCTGACGGGACTAGTGTTGGAGACGAACCAAAGTGCTCCAATCTGGTATCTCCTGCATCACAAAACTGACACGTGATTTTACCGAAGGGACACTCACAGATCAATACGAAAACCAGCCAATCATGCAGAGGGGACATCGTCATCTGCAGTGACAATTCGGCCAATCATGAGATCATATGATACATATATTGATTAATCATTTGACAATCGAATCAACCGAAGGCGGACATAACATGAACCATGTTTAAGAGAGAAACAGTGCAGTTCACTGTATAGGTAGGGTGCCTTCTAACTTTCCATTTTGTTTTAGCTCGATATGTACCTGAGACTGACAGATACAACTACCAATTGTTGTGAAACCGAAAAATCCATGTTACGTTATACTTACGGCAGTCTTCCAATACCATCCAAAAACATAAACCAAACGAGGTGTCCGATGTGCCCAAGATCGATGATCTGGGACATTTAATTCTTCGGCACGGAACTCGTTTACGCCTCTTTTTTAAGCAAAGTGGACAGTAATTCATACGTTCCGAAATGACTTGTTTTGCTGATCTATAGCCCTTTAGACAGTATGGGTAAGGTGTTTATATTTTCATCCGAATCCAGTCATACCCTCGGTTCCCCACCCTTTAACAGATTAGTCGGAAGTACAATAAAATGCTAACCGAATACGCCCCACCCGGACTTACACAACGTAGCCAGACAGTGCATGTTACGTTGTTTTTTTATTTTCACCTTCTGCCTGTAAAATATTCAAACATTGGTCTGGAGGTTATCCGCTGCACCAGAAGTCCATTAGGGTAACTCTACCGTCCGACATATTTGACGAACCACTCTGTTTCTTGTGTTTATCGGTATCACGTGAGATTCTGGGAGACTGACTGTGTATCACCCAAAAGGCGCGTGAACTTAAAGAGAAAAATGGATTTACAGGTGACTTTATTTCATGGAATAAATTTGCCTGCAATATGAGACAAGAATACATTGATACACTATTTTGGGAGACTAGGTTATTTTATAACTTTACTAAAGCCAGATCCGCTGACCAAACAACTATTCATCAGCTGACAATACATGGGCGATCTATAGGCGAGATGGATCAAACGTACAGGCTTCATTGCATCCAAAGTGTTCAGTAAACCGTCAATTATCAAATTTGTTTGAGTACCCCTAGACAGACATCTGACTGGTCAGCATGTGAGGCGGAAATACCGAATCTTGGCTGTAGCACAGCGCATCCTCCAATGGTATGCCGGCTACAAACTCAAATCGATCACAATGCCATCAGTTACCGATGGCGTGGATCAATAACTGACTGTCGGTCGTTTTGAACACATTTGTGGATTCTGAACACGCACTATTGCGGAGTTGCTTCTCTCTACAGTTCCCTGGGCCAAGTAAGGTGCGGACAAATCGCTTGGCAACTGAGAGACTGGGAGATCCGGTGTTAGACGAACTTATCAGAATCGTCTTCTAGAGTCTCTTCCAAACGCTTCACCATCAGATGTGAACTCATACTGGGACGAAATTGCCACCTCTATGCATAGGGCCAGGAATTTTGCCTGTGACGCGGCCCATCCAGGCGCACGAAAGCGCTGGATATCAAACTGAACAGTGGCACTACCTAAATCTTGGAGAAATATACCCACCGATCCCGAACATGATTTGGCCCAATGTCAAGTGAAATGGAGCGGGCTAACCGTGAAGTCTGGTGGACAAGGAAAGCCAAGGAAATGTAAGAGGTCCAGAAAGCTGGTAATTCCCGGAGATTATTTCAGTTGATCCGTGTGACCGGTCCCCGGTTATCACTTGTGAGCGAAACCATCAAACATCAGAATGGAACGACCATCTCGAATGAAGAAGAACGCTTCGACCGGTGGGATGAATACTTTGAACAACAACAGTCGAGAGCCACCGGCTGCCACTCATCTAGAGCCCACAAGTGAAGTAGAACCCTGGACGGTGGACGTGGAGCCACCTACGGCCTCGGAGGTTTACGACTGCATATGTTCTCTCAAGCACCACCGAGCACCCGGTCCGGATGACATTCCACCCGCACTGTTCAAAGACGGAGGTGAAGTCCTCAGTCAGCTCTTGTCCGATCTGGTTGTTTGCATTTGGGAAAGAGAGTCTCCCCCAGACAACTGGGGAGAATCGGTGATATTGCCCGTTTTCAAAAAAGCGGGCGTGTAGTGAGTGTGGTAACCACGGGGGATCAGCTAGACCCCGGTCGTAACTAGGTTGTTGGCGTCAGTTGTGCTTCGTCGCCTTACAATTGCTCAAGAGATACTGACTCGAGAGCAGCAAGTGAGATTCCGGCCTGGTAGGGGTTGCGTTGACCAAATCTTCACATTGCGTCAGGTGCTAGAACAACGCCATACGTATAAGCGACCCACAATTCTAGTATTCCTGGATTTCCGAGGCGCATTCGACTCGGTTGATCGGTCTGTTCTTCTTG